ATATATATATATATATATATATATATATATATAGTCATTGCTTTTCTTTCTTCCCTTTAATTTTTCACCTTATTTTGTTAGAGCTTAATTTTTCATGTTTCAGATCTGACCTAGCTATCATCTTTGGAAGAAAATTATTCTAGATAATAATTATGACCATATCTAACTATTATGTTGTTTACCTCATTTTGCTCCAATATTACTTTTTTGGTTCCTTTACACTAGATCTTCTAGGTACAAAAGAAAAAGAATATCATTGCCTTTTTAGAACTGTTAGGGATAGTAGCATTAGTGTTGCATTTGGATCGAAGACGTCATCATATGTGATAATATTGATAGATAGAGAATGAATATTTGGAAGACAATAGATTTTATCACTATGTATGGATTAGAATGAAATAAAAATATATACTCTTTTATACACTAATAATTTTTATATTTTATTTTTTATTCTAATTGATGTAGATGAAGGATACATGTCTCTCGAAGGTGTTTGGAAATGTTCCAAAAATTTATTTGATTTTATTTCATGTAAATTGGTTCCTTTGTAAGTGATTTTTATATTTATTCTTAAAATTTTCTTTTTATGTTTTCAAATTGGATATGGGATCTACGTGTGAAGTGCGTAATGAGAAATTATTGAGGATAAGTTATATCGACATATTCATACCATTACATGTTATATTATCTTAATTAGCTTCACATTTCTTGCTTGATGGCAAATGCAACATTCCACTGTTATGATTTTTAAAAAAAACATTCCACTATTATGAATTTTATTTAATGAATATGATGTAAATGATAAAGTTAATATTGTTAATTTCAATATTTTCTATATAATAATTCAATAATATGGGATAAACGTGCAACGCACGTTCCTAAGGACTAGTATATATATATATATATATAATTAAAAAAGTCTCATGCTTATACAACAACAAACTTGTGAACATTAAATTGTACAAACAATATTAAAAATTGATTTTTGATTGCAGAAGAATGGAACCTAAAAGGATGATAATGATATCTATCGTTCAAATGGCAGATTCACGTGGTGTACAATCGATAGATTGTTTTAGAAGTAAAACGTTAGAAAAATGAAATGACAAATTCGTGGACTCCTTCTTTTAGTCCTAGGCATGGATTTCCTTCCCAAGTTTACCATGTCAATATTTTACTCGTAATGCACTGTTTTCGATGGCTTCAGCAGTTGGACAGCCTCTTGATGTGGATCGAGCGACCAATGATAAAACACGACCTAGTAATGCAAAGGTAAAAGTCGAGGTGGATCTGTTAAGGACGCTTCCAAAAAGAATTAGTGTTCAAATAAAAAATTTAGTCACCGACGAGATTACAAATGTATGGCAAAAAATCAGGTACGATTATTTACCATATTATTGTAACAGATGTAAACATCAGGGGCATAGAAAACCATATTGAAGGAGAAAATTTTCGAGGTGATCTTCGTGTTCATCTCAATGCTAAAAAAGCTGATTCAAATAGGTTGGAAGTTGGTGAAAAGGATGATGAAGGAATAATTAAAGATTTACAGATAGGGGCTGAAAAGAGTGGTGTTCAAGATCAAAATTTGGTGCACCAAAATTCTGGCCAGCGTTTGGGCAAAGCATTGTTAGACGACTACTCTTCCGGGAATCGAATGTTATCCTTAATTCCTCAAACTGATGAGTTTTCACGGAAAAAGAATACTTCTCCCAATCAACAAAGCTGTAATTCAGCTAATCGTATCGAAGTTGAAGAGCAACTCGTTGTGGATACAAATAAATCCAACAATGCACAATTTGCACAAAAAATTAATGAGATAAAAGAGAATTTAGTCCAACTAGGGGTTATGAAAGTGATTTGGGCGATGATTCTTTTGATGAGGATGAGGAAGAAAATATGTTGGACATATGCTTTGATAAAGTGGCTAGGGATGGGGATATCTCACCTCGGCATCAAAGAAGTGGAAGCAACAAAAACAAAAAGAAGACACATGGAAGGCAACACAGTTGGGATGGTAAAGTGGCAGAAGAGTTTGTTCCAAGGCACCTACCGATGCCACTGGCAAAGCAGAACCATATGACAGTGTCAATAGCTTCAACAAGATCCAATACATCCAAGAAGAAGTGATGAACTATCAAGTTTTGTTGGACAAATTTGAAGAAGCAGACAAGTTGAAAATACTTCAGGTTACTCTAGATGGGCTATTTATCATTTTTAATTCACGCATTTGTAAAAGTAAGTTTGAGGTTAATAACTCAACTTTCTTCTTGGATTTTATATTTGTGCATTATTCAAGTATTTTCATTTGTAATATCATCATAGAGTATATTACAAATTCTATAATGATCATAGAATACCTAATTCTCTCTAGCTTTTATTTTTTTCATGTTTGTTAGTTAGTAGAGGTTCGTTGCCTCATTAAGATTGACAAGGTAAGGCCTACCCCCATGCTTGTACTTATTTCTATTGAGGATTTTTATTTTAATAAAAAAAAGAAAAAAAATAATAATAAAATATATTTCCCAAGCAATAAAATTATTCTTCATTTATCAAATATAGCGGGCATTTTGTTTCATAATATATACAAAATCATATTTCAAATTGCACTCTAGGCTTTAAATTTTGCTCACGATTTCATAATAGTGTCCTTCCATGAAAATGTTTGCAATTAAGGGTGTGTTTGGTATGAAGAAAATGTTATCCTTCATACCAAACACACCCTAAGAGTTGTTACCACTGTTAAAAGAAGCCAAGGCCAGTATTTGTTGATCATTATGAGGTAATGAAAACTTCTCTTTTAATACAAACTTAATTATGTTACCTATTTTACACCATTAGTAGTAACTGAGGCAAGTTAATTCTAAAACTAAAATGTTTTTATGTAATCACTCTTGTACCAAATAGATTAGATGTAGAGATGCTAACTCCAATATTTCACCACGACCAGGGAGCTCCATTGACAGAGTACACGCTTCGTCTAATAGGTTCAGACTTCAGACATAGAGCACTACATAAGAAAACTTCTGTATACCGGAGAAATCCAATACAATGTATAAGAAACTTTCACCTTCTCTGTCTGTCTTGAAAACTTTTCCCAAATGGATCATGCACAACACAAATGTTATCGACCAGTAATTGAAATATTAACCTTTGGGTTTCTTCTACAAAACACGAGTTGAGGTTAAATAAGGAAATAATTGTTGTTGGTTTTCTTCCATTGCTTGTTTTTATGGCACACATTGACATTGGGAAATGGGAAAAAGTAACACCTTCTAGGAAGATCCATGCTTCGTCTGGAGACATTCTTCATCCTCCCAAGGCTGGAATGCATCTTGCTGAGTTAGATGCTGGAGATATTGAAACAAAATATACTTTTAGTATAAGCCACTAGCTTCAGCAGAACAAGCAATAATGAGAAAGATAACGGTAAATGAAAATTTTTCATGCTTCAATTTGAGATGAAAGGCATTGATTATCCCTCGGTTTGTTCTCATTCCATTTGTCAATCTTTGTAACTACTGAAATTCCATTGGCTCATACATCAGAATTTTGACAATAAGATACATGGATGTAGAATTTAGATCTGTTATCCTCGCTGATCCTTGAAAATTTGGAGTCAGAAAAGTACATTTGAGCAAGTCAAAGTAGTGTTTCATGTTTTTTTGAGGTCAAAATGCAGTACTTTCATAATTTAGAGGCAAATGACTGATAGGACAATAGCAACCATTGGTTCGAGGAATCTGAAGATAAGCAAGTGGATTGGTGGGAAAAGGGTATTTCATACTGTGGTTTTCATTCTGGAATGAGTGAGAGGAGATTCACATGCATGGTCACTGCAAGGAGCATGTTAAACACAGAAAAGAACGGAACGTTCATTGAAGTCAATATATGGTAGGGAAATAGCCTTCACCTCTAACCAAAAGAAAAATCCACGCATGATGTTCAACTTTTTATCTTTGTCAGGACCGGCCCTTTTGATTTCCTGATTGACACCTGCATTTTTGACAATGAAAATGTATTAATAATTTGTTGTTGATATGGTGATCACATCACTGATTGGATACAAAGTGGTACAGAAAATAGCAATCAAATGGTAACTTTTTCTCTTCTGTAACATAAACTACTGGAAGCTAATTGGGAACCCTATTCTTGTTGTTTAAGGAACACATAACTTGAAAAAACACTCCAATTAAATTATGCATCTCTTATGTGCAATCCCGCTACATCC